ATTCGCATTTTATAAAATTAGCGGAATATCAAAATTTTTGTACACATTTTGAATGGAAACACAACAAGTGACTACCTTTAGCCCCTATATAGAGGCCAATGGCGTAAATATTGGTAAGCAGAGACGGCAGTTGCTAAGGGGCCCACGACATCATAGGGGCCCCATGACTGACACCTGGTAGGCCAATTGTAGACTAGACTCATTGCAGATGTAATGGTGCAAAAAATTCCTCTTAAACCAACCTGATCCTGAAGCAACTGACCGGACCGTATTTATACCCCAACACATGCCAGATTTCAACATGATGGTGAACCGTTTAAACACAACACCAATAGCAAAGCAGACAGTGGTACTTTTAATTACTACCGTATGTTAATAACGGTGTATAGTTCATTAGACGGTAAGTAAAAAATACACTTATATAATATATTTCAAACCACAAAAGATCTTAAAAGAACAATGTATTTGAGTATTTTATTTTTTACACTATGACTTGGAATTATGGGTAATCCAGAGCGTAGATTAAAACCATAACCCTTACTTACAAAGTGTTACCAACGATGGATACCAAAATGAGGTACTTAAGCGGATTCCAGAAAAAAAAACAAAAAAAAACCGCCGGAAAGAACAAAAAAAAATCCCAAAATAAACACGTTCTTTCAAAGAACCGAAAAGGGAGAGGTGAACGTTGCTGCAGGGAGTAAAGACTGCAACCAGGAGATGAATGGAGAGAGTGTGGGTGAGGAGGGGGCTGTGAAGCTGAAGGTAGCTCCATGGCTTGTTGTGCTAATATACTAAAGTATATCCATGTCTAGTCAAGGTGAAGAATGGGGGGTGTAGGAGCTGTTGGAACTTGGGACTTCTGTAACATGTGGTAAGGCAAGGCAAGGCAAGGCAAATTAATTTGTATAGCACAATTCAGTACAAAGACAATACAAATTGACCATGTGGGGGTGCGCTGCCTGTCACCAATGGTTCCATTCAAGGTGCGCAGTCACTATTTTTCCGTGTGTGATGTGTGATAATATACTACAGAGAAATTTACAATTGTATCTTCTTGGACGATTTATGGAACTGTCGCCGTACCCTGAACTTTTATCACATGTTGTACCTCATATGGGGCCCAGATAATGTTGCTTTTATTGTTGTGTCGTCATGCCAATGATAGAGGCACACTGATTATTTACAAGATTGACACCTGTGATGCTAATTAGTGGGCACCATGCCTCTTTGGTTATATTATTTTCAGTCCTTTCTATGGGTTACTGTCATTATTGTCCAGGCCTGTTTCATGGGTTTATTTTATTTTTTTAATCATTCTGATGGTGCATGGTTAAAAAGCAATGTCTGGCATTCAATTGATCATCTTCATAGATTTTTTTTACTTCTTAGAACTTTTGTCAGATTCTTAGATTTTATTATTTTTTTTTAACCATTTTTGGTTGTTAGTCCATTAACAGAGGAGGTACCAACAATTTTGGCATAGAAAAGTATATATATATATATATATATATAAAAAAAGCCTCTCCTACACAGTGAGATATCTGCATCAACCACCTGCTGCTCTGTCCAGGTTGGTGACAGGATGAATGTCAAAGTCCCTAAACTTCATCCATCCAGCTGATGCAGCAGAGTGACAGCAGCATTGAATGAAGCAGTCAGATCATGATCAGACCCGCAGCATCGGGCCTCCTGTGGAGCCCCAAACCAAAACAAAGGCCTCCTCCGATCTTATTATCACTCACAACACGGCGGTGACTGCGTGTCTGCACAAACACCAGCCGACCTGCAGCCTACCTTCACGCTGGAGTGGCTGGTCTGAGTCTCGGCCTCGATGCGGACCTGTCCCCCGCTGTTCTCCTTTCGGCTCCGGTTGGAGTTATTCCGCGAGTGGCGGTTCTGGTAGGTGATGACGGAGGGGATGGTCTCCGCCGCATCCGTCTTGATGAAGAGCCCGTGCAGCGTGGCCGCGGTGCCCTGGGAGATAGTGGTGGTCTGGTGGGGGGAGTTGGATTCGTCCGAGTCCCGGCAGTAGATCACCCCGCTCTGAGAGACGTGGATGCTGGGAGCGCAGCCCATGCCTCAGAGAAAGCGCCTTCCGGGGTCTGATCCCCCGTCGTCGATCAGCGAGTGTCGGGTACCAGCTTCCCGCAGCTCTCCTCCGGGCATCGGCTGCGAGCCAGAAGCGCTCTCTGCTCCGCTCGTCTGGCAACATTAAAGGCGTCCCATAAACCCAGCGCTCTCTCCCAGCCTGCCTTACTGCAGCATCTTGGATGTGGCTTTCATTGTTTTTCTTTTGGGGACAAAATGTTTTGCGAGCTATAATCAGTCCAAACCCCACCGATGGCGCATCTGAAGCGAGTCAAACTAATGAACCAAATGGACCTGGCTGTTTCTCATCTGCTCTCCTCCTCTGTGTCATGCTCCTCTTTCCAGCCTGCCTGCAGAAAAGCTATCAATGAAATCTTTTATGTTCCTCTTCTTTAGTTCCTGTGCTTGCAGATCGTTGGCAACGATCCAACTCTCTCTCTCTCTCCTCCCTCTCATCAAACTAACATCATATCGCTTCTATCTCTCAAGAAGAAACTCTAATGTCCCAGGAGGCCTCGTTCTGGCCCCAGGGGCCATTTAAAGCCCTCACCGAGATGAATTAGACATAATGTTATTAGAGTAATGACGCCCTGATGAAAAACCACTTACTGTTAAAACCACAACACCTTTAGGTTTGTTTTGGGGAAAGATTTATGTCTTGAATCTATAATTTCTCCTATGTGCCATACAATGATTCATGCCAGGGGTCTTCAAAGTTTTCCAGGCCAAGGACCCCCAAACCAAGATGGAGATGGAGCAGGGCCCCCCTAAAAGTTATTTAGGGACCCCCCACCCCCAAATAATTTTGTTACATGACTC